TGAGCCGCACCCGCAGACCCTCCCGGGACTTTTTATGGCCTTTTCTACATCAGTTTCTCGTTTGAGGATGGGGTGAAGGGAGGCCTGTTACCCAGGGCACCGATGTGGTGGGAGGTGGTGGGGTACAGACCGTGATCATCAACACTGCCGGACCCAGAGATGGACAGGGTGCTTCTGGGAAGGAGGAGTTCACTAAGCAGGAGACCTAGGCTGGACAGTTGTGTCCATAAAGGTGCCTGGTGTCTTTGGCCTCATGAGTGTGTCAGAGGCAACATTTGAACCCAGGGCTTTGGGCTGTGACTTTCCAGTCTTGGGTGTTCTGGCCCTTGGGCAGCAGGGCCCCATGGTGGCTTGAGCTCTGGGTCCCATTTTTCCACAGGAAACACTGGAAACCTGGGAAGAGCGACTGCTGGGATTCTTCTCCGTGTCCCCCCAGGCCGTGTACACAGCCATGCTGGACAACAGGTCAGGGTGGCGGGCAGCAAACTGTGTGCGTGTGTGTGTGTGAGAGAGAGAGAGAGGGTGGGGGGAACTCCTGCCCTGGCCACTCACTGCCCATGTGTCCATAGCTTCGAGAGGCTGCTGCTCCACGCTGTCTGCCAGTACATGGACCTCATCTCAGCCAGTGAGTGCCCAGTCCCCATCCCCACATGGTCAGCCAGGAAGCAGCCTGGGTGGCAGGAAGGTGTCCTGGGTGGGTGCGGCTCAAGCAAAGGGTGGCCCTGGGATGCTGCCTTCACTCGTCAGAAATGCCCTGTGTGCCAGCCCCCTGCTGGGTAGAGCTGGGCAAATGGTCAGACATCCTCCATCCACACCCCCAGGGCAGGGGAGAGGGCCTGGCGGGGGTGTCCAAGCCTGGCTTCGAGGGTCTGTGCACCCTGAAAGCCAGCCCAGCTTAGCCTGTGTCTGTAGGCGCCCTCCTCAGGCCCAATGGGGTGGTCTCAGGACAGCCCCTCCCTGGGAGGGGCACAGCAGGCCCTTGCCAGCCCCAGGTGCCCCTGGTGTCCTGGCTTCCCACCCCTGTCTGTCTCCTGCCTGGAGTTGTTGCGAGGTTTCCTGGCAACTCTGGATGGCTCCTCCCCTGTGCTCTCTTGGACCAAGCTCCCTTTGTTCCCCAGTCTGAGGGTGGAGGGGCTTGGTTGGTGGGGCCCTGCTTGGCAGGGGTCAAGCTGTGTCCAGGTCTTGGAGGACCCAGGGCAAGGGAAAAGGGCTCCCAGACCAGCTCCAGCAGGGGCCAACATGGTGTTCCAGGCTGGTTCTGTTTGGCCAGGAGGGGAGGCACGCCTGGGGCCTTGGCACTGTGAAGATACCTCTCGTGCAGACCGGGAGACCCACAGGAGACCAAATACTCAGTGACACACACGTGAGAGTATCCACTTGGCCTTGAGCCCTGTGTGCTCAGTGTCTCTGCCTGAGAAATGGAGTTATTAACAGCAAATGCTGAAATGGTCCAGTCAGAGGCACTCAGGGCAGGTCTAGTCCTTGTGAGTCCAGCCTGGGGCCCGGGGACTGTGGCCTCAGCGTGCAGCAGCCCCGTGGCCCCTCCATCCACACTCTCCACATGCAGGGGCTGGAGTCCGTTAATTCCTGCCTGCTTGTCACTGCCACAGGTGCGGATCTGGAGGGCAGGCGACAGATGAAGGTCAGCAACCGGCACCTACAGTTCCTGCCTCCCGGCCTGCTTCTGTCTGCCTACCTGGAGCAGCACAGCTGATGGAGGCCACCCAGTGCCCACCTGCCACCTTGCCCAGCGCCAAGACATTGTGCCATCTGCTAAAATGCCTACCATGTTTTTAGAATTTGTCTTTAACAACTGCTGTCCCCTTGGGTGGCTCTCTCACCTTTGCCCTAACCGTCCTCTCTTATTCAGATGAACATCGGGGCTTGAGCTGCCCAAACTGTCCCAACCGTGCAGTGCCCCACCCCAGACTTGTATTTGGGTAGGGAGTTCTGACCTGGGTACTTCCATGTTTCTTTGGTTATTAGCTTTCTTGGCCCAGTTTAAAGCTCAGATGAGGTAGGAGAGGCTGGGTTTTTATCACTTTTTATGAATTTGGCATGATTTGTTGTAGATTTTTAAATTTCCTTTTTGAAGAAAGAAAAAAAAAAAAACAAACAAAATCACTTGTCCCACCTGGTAAATAGTGGGCTTGGTCACAGCCTTTGCTTGACTTTTCCTAGTTTTTAGCTCTTGGGTGGGGGGTGGGGGGTGGGGGTGGGGGTGGTTCTCTGCCCCTCACCCCAGGAGCATTTTCTCTGTGTGTGTGTGTGTGTGTGAGTGTGTGCGCACGCATGTCTGGGCCCTGCACCCTAGGACACCGCTGCATCTCAAGGGCTGGTTTTATGCTTCCTGATATGTCTGTGTCGTGTCCCATCCCGCCCTCCCTTTTATACTAGGGATCCAGGACTTCCAGCCAGAAGCCGCTGTCCTCAGCTACCCCGTCCCTCCATGACCCAGCATCCTCTGCCCCAGCCTGGCTCTGGCCCAGGGGTCCAGAGTATCCTCATGCTGGTGGGCCCTGCCCTCCTGTGTGCCTGTGCGTGGCTAGTTGTGCTTGGAGGACAGGGGAGTGTTTAATAAATTTCTGGTGCTCCGGCTGCAGGCTGAATGGTGTCTTTTAAGGTCCTGGTCAGTGTTCAGGCCTCACCCAGGCTCTGTGGTGAGACATACTGCCCGTGTTCTCTGAGACACCGCTAGCCGTCAGCGCTCTGCCATGCTGGCTGTGCCCACTGGTGCCAGCTGTGTGGCCTCAGGTGAGTCACTGTATGCATGTCCTGCAGCTGCAGTGACGGAGAACTGTGGGTCCCAGAGTGTCTCCTCCCTGGGGCCTGGGTCAGGTCAGGTGTGTGCCGGCAGCTGCCCCAGAGGCGGCCTCTCCTGGATCAGTGGCTGGTGGCTGTATCACCTGCCTGCCTTGGCTCTGGCAGGCTCCTCCTGGTGTGTCTTCACAGGGTCTCCCCTCTGCGTGTCTGGGTCCATGTTTGGCATGGACACTGGCCACAGGAGTTAAGGCCCTCTCACCACTATGGTTTAACCTGTGCTTCTGTAAGGACCCACTTCCATCAAGTCACACCCTGAGGTTGTGGGGCTAGGACTTCCATATGCCTTTTGGGGGGGACCCAATTCAGCCTATTACAGCACTTAATCGTGCCTCAGTTTCCCTGTCTGAGAAACAGGTCAGTACATGAAGTAGGTGAACTGGTCCCTGTGAGGTAGCTTGCTCCTTTATGGAAGACCTCTTGCTTCTTGTTTCTGATTATAATTTAGCATTCCCCCCCAACTTCTTTTATTCTTTCTTTTGGGTACCAGGGATTTAATGGAGGGGTGCTTTACCACTGAGCCGCATCTCCAGTCCTTTTTATTACTTTGAGACAGCATCTTGCTATGTTGCGGAGACTGGCCTGGAACTTGCCATCCTCCTACCTCAGCCTCCAGGAGGAGGGGGCCCCAAACCCATCTCCATTTCTATTTTTTCCAGCTGTTTGGGAGGGAATTTCAGACCTGAGGCTCTTCACCCAAGCGCCTCAAATGCCCTGGCCCAGTCATGGGGGCTATCTGCAATATCTCTTTTTTATTTTTTTTTTAGTTCTTGGCGGACACAACATCTTTGTATGTGGTGCTGAGGATTGAACCCGGGCAGCACGCATGCCAGGCGAGCGCGCTACTGCTTGAGCCACATCCCCAGCCCTCTGCAATATCTCTTAACCTCATTGGGGAACTGGACCCTGGTCCTGGGCAGCGTCTGATATCTGGACCACTGTTTTGAAGGAGCTCAAATGTCTCCGACATTTCAGAAATTGAGGCAGAGCTGGCCCAGCGCGGCGTTAGGGCGGCAGGTGGGCCCGTGCTGATGCACGTGGAGGAACCAGGCTTCTTCGTAGGCTCTCATCCCCAGGGCCCCCCAGGGCACTGGCCCTTCTCCCTGGGCTCCTCCGGGCCGGGAAGCGCGCTGTCCTTCCTTTGATGAGCCCAGGTCGCGGGAGGAGCGTTTGGGATGTATTGCAGATGCTGGGGACCGCGGGAATCCTGCGGATGGTGCGGGTGGGCTGCGCGCCAGGGTGCGGGCCCGGGCTCCCGCCGAGTCGGTGGCCTGCAGGACGCTGCACTTCTCCCGGGAGCTGCTCCGGCCGAGCTCTCCTTGCCCGGACGGAGGGAGGCAGGGGTCTGCGCCCAGGCTGGTCTGGGCCCTAGGTCTTCGCCGCTGGTGGCCGCTCGCCGGGGACGCCGGCCTTCTGCCCTGGCGGGGTGATCGACACCCCTGGTGTCCTGGAGAAGGTCCCACGGGGCTCCGGGAGCGCGCCCCTCGCCCGGGGCCTAGGGCAGGAGGCCAAGCCGCGCCCACGCAGGTCGCACTGCGAACCCTCCAGTAAAAGGTCGGAAGCGCCGGGGAACTAAGCCCCGGGCCAGCGCGGACTGGAGCGCCGCCGTGGCCGCAGCTCGGGCGGTTCCTCGCTGCCCTCCAGGCTTGGTCACACCAGGATGGTCCTGCTGGATGGTCCTGTTGAGATGAGGCTTGAGGGTGCAAGAGCTTCACTTTAAGATGTCACCCGGCTCAACGGGTTCCCCACCGGGACCTCCAATGGAGCCTCGGGTTCCCCACCGAGATAGAGAAGGAATGAAAAGAGCTGAGATGCCTGTAAGGGAGCTTCGGGTTGCCTGCCCCTGAACCAGAATATCTCACCAAAAATACGGAACGCTTCACGAATTTGCGTGTCATCCTTGCGCAGGGGCCATGCTAATCTTCTCTGTATCGTTCCAATTTTAGTATATGTGCTGCCGAAGCGAGCACGACTGAGCCTTTCTCCATTTCGGTATTTACAGAGCAGACACTCAAACACTTTACAGTGCAGGTGAATATTCCTAAAACAATTTTTAACAACTATTCAATCCTTTTAGTATATTACATCGGAATCAGCGCAACCAAATGAAATTATGGTCAAGATATGACAAAATATCTTTTTTTTAACTAAATATAATATTTTCCGGACTAAATTCAGCACAAGGCCTACTAGGAATTGCTTTATGCAAATAACCCGGAAGCAGGGCGGAGCCAGAGCCTTCGCCGTCCCAGAAGTCTCCGCGAAGCGCTCTTGGGTGCCTGGAGCCGGCGGCGGGCGGCCGCACGTAGCGTGAGGCGGGCGGAGCGGAAGCCGGTGGGCGCAGGTAGCGGGGGCCGGCGGGGCCTGGAGGTCGGGGGCGGGGCCTGCGGGGTCAGAGGGCGGGCTGGAGGTGAAGGGTGCTAGGTCCCCGAGCTGCGGGGGAACTCTGGGGCGGTGTCCACCATGCCACGGGGGCGGGGTCCTCCTCGCATCCCGAGGGTGCGCGGGGCAGGCTCCCGGGCCTGAAGTCAGATGGAGTTGGGGGCAGGGCTGCAGGACTGTTAAGGGTGTGTGGGTGCATCTCGGTGGAGCAGAGGGAGCGTAGAGGAACATGGGGTGGTGGTCATTCCGCTCTCCTGGGCCCCACCGCGGGTGCCAGGCACGGCAGAGCCTAGGAGCGCTGGCTCGGCAGCCCTGCCGCCCAGACCCCGGCTGCCCAGCCCCTCCCCCAGCTCGAGCGTCCCTGGGTCAGCCTTTACAGACACGGGGTCCACTCACTTCTCAGTGTCTACACCCCTGTCCTTGCTTACCTGGAGCAGCCCAGTCACCCGACCTGTCCAGGGCTGCACCTTGGGCCTCCAAGTCTGCCCCTAGAAGGCCCCTGTGGGCATGTTGAAACCTACATAGGTCCCAGGCCTCCTGGCACCCACAAGGCCCAGGAGCAGCCCCCTGCTCTCCTGCTCTCATCCCTCAGGTGTGATCCAGCCCCAGGGCCTTTGCCCTGGCTACTCCTGCCAGCTGAACCCTCCTCCCTCTGGTGTGCCTCACTCAGGTACTGCTTCCCCAGGAGGCCTCCCTTGCTGTTGAAACCTGAGTCCGAAGCCAGGTGCTGCTGCACACCTGTCACTACTGGGGGAGAAGCTGAGGCAGAAGGATCACTAGAGCCCAGGGGTTTGAGACTAGCCTGGGCAGCATAGAGATCCTGTCTGAATAAAACGGAGAATTGCATTCCTCCGGTGCTCACGTTGAAGCCAAGTTCAGGGACCTGGCCATCTCAGTCCCAGAACCACTCAGTTGGAGCCCTTGGCAAGCCCGACCTCCTTTCTGCAGGAGCAGTGAGTGTACGTGCACAGTGGGCACGATGGACCTGGCCTACGTCTGTGAGTGGGAGAAGTGGCCCAAGAGCACCCACTGCCCATCAGTGCCCCTGGCCTGTGCCTGGTCCTGCCGCAACCTCATCGCCTTCACCACGGACCTCCGCAGCGATGACCAGGGTGTGCCCCTGCCCACCCACCTGCACACTGTCACCATTGCTCCCAGCACATTGCCTCAGGCTCTCTGCTGACCAGACCTGGCAGAGAGCCCTTCCCCTGCCCTGCTGTAGTCTGCACTTGGGGTCCAGAGGGTTATCGGTGCCACACCTGGTGCAGGGGCTGCCCTCCCCCATGAGTGGAAGGACGGAACTTGGGCTGGGATCACTGAAGGACACTTGTAGGACACTCAGCCCTGGTTCTGGGCTGAGTGTCCTGACATGGCTGTGGATAGCTTCTGAGGTGTGCAGTGACTTTCCCCCACTGTCTGTTGTTCTGGCCATGTGCTCTTGTGGGGGGAAGTCACAGAAGCACGGGTTCAGGGCGTTGAGAAAGCCACCTAGTACTTTTGACGCGAGACACCCACTGTTAGCTCCTGTGGTCCTGTGTTTCCCGTCCAGTTCTCTGGGGTTCCCCACAGGGTCTCCACCCAGCCCCCAGGCCACAGGTCCCGCAAGCTGGCTGCTGGCTGGAGGAGGCCAAGTGAGACCTGCCCCTCATGCTCTCACCCTCAGACCTGACCCGCACGATTCACATCCTGGACACAGAGCACCCCTGGGATGTGCACTCCGTCAGCTCCCAGCACCGCGAGGCCATCACCTGCCTGGAGTGGGACCAGTCAGGTGAGCACCAGGGAGGGGGCACTGCTGGCCCGGCCAGTCCCGGGGTATCCACCACTCTTCCCACAGGCCTTCTGGGCCCTTACTGTGGGCCCGGCTGCTCAGCTATGCCTTCTCGAACCCTTGTCGCTGTGGAGGGCTCCTGACGCCCTGTTCCCACAGGCTCCCGGCTCCTCTCCGCCGATGCCGACGGGCAGATCAAGTGCTGGAGCATGGCGGACCACCTGGCCAACAGCTGGGAGAGCTGCCTGGGCAGCATGGTGGAGGGGGACCCCATCGTGGCCCTGTCCTGGCTGCACAATGGTGTGAAGCTGGCGCTGCACGTGGAGAAGGTGGGTGTCCTGAGCGAATGAGCAGCATCAGCCCCTGTGCTCAAACCTCTGGTGTGTTCTGAGCCTGCAGCCCTGGTCCTCAGCAGGCTGCTTGTTAGCCAATGGCTGCTGTCCTCAGTGAGCCACCCACTTCCCGGATGGCCATGTCCTGAAAACCCGGCCCACCCTTGACCTTTCGTCAGTAACGTTCTGAATTCTGTATTCTGTGCTTTAGCCAGTCAGGAGTGGGGCCGCTGGGGCCCGGGACATTCTAGTCATTCCTGGCTCCATGCTTCTGTGCCAGTTGCCTCCTGGTTGGCAGAATCGTCCTGGGGATATGGTGAGGAGGCTGGCCAGGGCCTGTGCTCTGCCGCTTCCCGAGTCTGTCCTGGCTGCGCCTGTGCAGCCTCCGCGAGACTTTCAAGACCTCTTTGACCTGTTTAGAAAAGTTTTGTTGAGACACGATGCTCACAGTCCGTAACTCACCTGTGTAAAATGTAAAGTCCAGAGGTGTTTCATGTTTCCACAAAGTGCATCCGTTCCCTCTGATTCCAGAACATTCTGCCTCCCACAAGGTGACCTTGCCCCCTCAAGCAGCCCCATCCCTCCCCAGCCCTGCACCCAGATCCATCTCTAAACTTTGCTGTCCTTGACTCTCCTGTCACTGGGTCACTGTGACCTGTGTGTCTGGGTCTCACTGAGTCTCACCAGGTCCTCAGGCCCAGCCATGCTGCAGCTGGGGCCATCCTCACGTGGTCACCTGCCTTAGTATATCCTATAGGCAGATTGGCCACCTGATCTGGAGTCCCGCTGCACCCAGGGCCCACGGTTCCCAGAGCACATCGCCCGAGCCAGAAGGCGGATGTCATACCAGTACAGGTGGTCTGCCCAGGGCTGTGGACCACACGTGGACTGGTTGTACCCAGTGACCTGTGAACTCTTTTTCTTTCTTTCTTTCTTTTTTTTTTTTTTGCAGTACTAGGAATTGAACCCAGGGCCTTACACATCACAGGCAAGCAGTCTACCACTGAGCCTCATCCCAGCCCTTTTTGAAAAATTCTTATTTCATTTTGAGACAGGATCTTGCTAAGTTGCCCAGCCTGGCCTTGGACTTGGGATCCTCCTGCTCCGCCTCCTGAGTGGCTGGGGTAGCAGGAGGTGCCACTGTGCTGGGCTCCCTACCTGCCTCTCTAGATGAAGCTTTGCTGGCACACAGCCACACCTGTTTGTGGACAGTGTCTCTGTGGCTTTTTCTGCCCTACACAGGCGGAAACAGCCCGGGGGCTGCAGCAGGGACTGTCTGGCCTTTTACAGAGAAAAGTCATGACGCTGTGTGTACCTTCACCCGTTTCCTCCCCACAGCGGTTCTCCAAAGACTTGTTCTGCTTCTGTCAGCAGCAGAGGACACTGAGGCTCAGAGAGGCCCATATCATGCAGTGCTCCAGTGGCTAGGCAGCAGCGGCTCAGGCCCAGGGACTCTTTGGCCACCTTCCAGTGTGCTGGTGTTTCTGTGGGTGCAGTGACCAGAGGGGCTTGTCGGGTCAGGAAAGGCAGACCCCAGGCTGAGCAGGCCTTTCGCCCCTCCCTTACAGTCAGGTGCCTCTAGCTTTGGTGAGAAGTTCTCCCGCGTCAAGTTCTCGCCGTCACTCACGCTGTTTGGCGGCAAGCCCATGGAGGGCTGGATCGCAGTGACCGTCAGCGGCCTGGTCACAGTGTCCCTGCTCAAACCCAGCGGGCAGGTGTTGACGTCCACCGAGAGCCTGTGCCGGCTGCGTGGCCGCGTGGCCCTGGCTGACATCGCCTTCACGGGCGGCGGCAACATTGTGGTAGCCACCGCGGATGGCAGCAGTGCCTCGCCCGTGCAGTTCTACAAGGTGTGCGTGAGCGTGGTCAGCGAGAAGTGCCGCATTGACACAGAGATCCTGCCCTCGCTCTTCATGCGCTGCACCACAGACCTCAGTCGCAAGGACAAGTTCCCCGCCATCACCCACCTCAAGTTCCTGGCCCGGGACATGTCCGAGCAGGTGAGGAGCCGCCACCGTGCTCACTGGCATCAGCAGCATGGATCTTTCCCTCGGGTTGAGTCCGCAGCTGACTGGGGCCTTCCTGCCCAGATCTCGGTGCAGCAGACCGGGTCTCCCAAGGAGGGTCCTTGTCCCCCTCCTCCAGGTCTTGTGACCCCAGGAAGAGTCCTCATCCCCCTCTTTCAGCTGCTGAGGCCCAGGGAAGGACAGTAGTCCTGGTCCCCTCCTCCAGCTCCAGGGCCAGCAGCACAGTGTCTTGCAGGCTCCCTGATTCTGACCCTCCTGCCTCCTCTCAGGAGGTCCCTGTGGTGACCCTGGGTGACCCCAGCTCAGGGCCTCCCGTGTTGCCACCTCAGAGCCCCTCTGCCCCAGGAAGTAACATAGCACAGGCCCAGGGACGAGGGCTGCGTGTCTTTGATCCCCCAGGTCACCTGAATTCCCTGTGGGCCCCAAAAGTCTGGAAGCCCCTGTGTGGTTCCCTTGTGCCCTCCTCAGGGAGGTCCTGTGCTGTGCGACCTCGCTCCAGGGGGTGGGCCCAGTTCACAGGCCTGTGAGGTCCCGGGGCTGGGAGGGACACTCGGAAGGCCCTGTCCCCATGCCTGACCCAGCCGCACCCCAGGTGCTCCTGTGTGCGTCCAGCCCGACGAGCAGCCTCGTGGAGTGCTGGTCCTTGCGCAAGGAGGGGCTCCCCGTGAACAACATCTTTCAGCAGATCTCTCCCGCTGGTGAGTCTTCTCGGGCCCTGGGCAAGTCTGGCCTTGGCCTTTCCCAGCCCTCAACTCTGTCCTCTCACACCACATCGAGGCAGGGGCTTTCATCCTGGTCTCTGGGGTAGGAAACAGGCTAAGAGGCGGAGCTGTCCACCCGTTGCCTGCAGAGGCAGCAGGCACCTGGTCTCAGGACACGGAGTGCAGAGGTCCTGGGGGGATGTGGGGGTGGGCAGGAACAGGCGCAGGGCAATGGGCAGCATACACGGGCCTGTAGCCACAGGAGACTATATTTTGAACGTCATGGAATCTTCCAGAGACCCTGGTTCGCCGAGGCTTGGGCTTGCTGTTTGTCCAGGACACACGACCCAGCCTCCTGCTGCCTGGGCCCTCCCAGGGGAGCCCTCCCAGCACAGCCCCGGGGAGCCACGGATGTCCATACCACCCACCCACCCAGTCAGCCCTAGGTTCCAGGCTCACCTGCCCTGGAGGGAGATGCGTTCCCGTTGGCCTTAGTGGACCCTAGAGTGGTCAGCCTTGAGCGTGCTGAGCAGAAGCTGCTAATGAGACCATCCTGGCTCCTGCCAGTCTGGGAGGTGGTCATGTGACTCCTTGCTGTGGCCGGGTGTCTGAGGGCGCAGGCAGCCTGGGCACTTGGCCAGTGGCTGACACCACGTCGCCTGGCGGGCAGGGCTACCAGGGCCATGCTGGGCCTCTGGCAGAGCTCAGCTGGCCCCCGCCCCTCTCCTGCCCCTTGTCCTCCAAGCAGCCTTGTGGGGCACTTGCAGCCAGGCCAGGCAGACCTGCTGCCCCGTGCCCAAGGCACCTCCCCACAGCGGGCCTGCCTGCTGTCCTTGTCCCTCTTTCCTGCGGCCCTGAGGTCCCACTCCTCCCTCATCACCTGCTGTAGTCCAGCCCATGGCCCAGGCTGTCCTGGCTCAGGGCAGACCAGAATGGGGACTGGGGGGACAGGTGGCTCAGCCCCTTCCAGCTGTGCCCTGTGGTTTAGACTGGGGACCATGGCTAGCACCTGGGGAGCAGGCAGGTCTTCCAGCACGAGGTGACATTCCACAGGGTGGACGGCCACAGGTAGACTGACCTCTGGCAGTCTTGGCCACTCTGGGCCTAGCCACTCCCTGGGTACAGTGCTGGCCTGAACTCCCCGCCAGCCTGGGGCGGTTCAGAGGTCAGGGCCAGACACACCGTGCAGCCCAGTGAGCTGGGGGCCCTGGATGCAGTAGGACTGGGTCCCCTTGTGCAGCCTTTGTGGTCTCCTGTCCCCTCCCCGAGTCTGTGACCAGGGGCTATCCTGGGCTCCTGACTTCTCCAAGCCCCAGGCCTCCAGTCCCTGGGGCACTGCCCTGGAGGGTGGTGGGCTCCGTGGCGTGTTCTGGTCCCATAGCGTCAAGGAGCAAAAGACCCAGCTCGGCTGGTCTGTGCCCGGCTCTAGGGTGGTGGTCAGCTTCTCTGCTGGGTCAGTCCCATCTGGGGACAGGTGCGTGTCCCCACCACCAGCTGTGCGCTCCTTGTGTGCAGTCCCAGAAGTGCATCCCGTCTGGGCAGAACCCAGGCCGGAAGAGGCGCCTGTGCCCGCCCCAGGCCTCGGACCTGCTTGGACGTGCTTCCTCGGGTCTCAACTTTCCTCCTCCACTTTCCCACCCCCAAATGCTCCAGTTGGTGACAAACAGCCCATGATCCTCAAGTGGCGGATCCTGTCAGCCACCAATGACCTGGACCGTGTGTCGGCTGTGGCACTGCCCAAGCTGCCCATCTCTCTCACCAACACTGACCTCAAGGTGGCCAGCGACACCCAGTTCTACCCCGGCCTTGGTATGCTGAGCTTGTGAGGGTCTGGGGGAGCCTGGCCTCCTGGCTCTGCTCCCGTGGAGAGGCCAGCCCATGGCAGGGTGGCAGGGTCTGAGCGCTCAGTGGCTGGAGGCTCTGGCTGAGCCTGCACTGCTAGTGTGTGGGACATCTGACGTTGAGGATCAGCCCGTGACGGCGGGGGGGGGGGGGGGGGCAGGGAAGTCTCAGGCCAGACCAGCCACACTAGCAAGCCTGCTTGTGGTTGTGGGTACACACCTGTGGGCCTGCCCACCAGCAGTTGGGCTCACTGTCCAGCACAAGCCCGTGTGCTCAGCTCTGAGGTGAAGACCTGTCCACCAGTTCCTTCTGTTTTCCAATTTGCTGGGAAGAAGAGCACTTACCACAGTTTGCACTGGTTGCTGGACACGGTGGCCGCGCCAGTTGTGCTGCAACGCGGGAGGTGGAGCAGGAGCACGGCAAGTTCAAGGCCAGCCTGTGTGATTTTGCCAGACCCTGTTCTAAAACAAATACCAAAATGGTGTGGTAGAATCAGTTCAATCCCCAGTTCCAAGGATAGTAACAATGATGATTTCTGCATCAGTCTCACGGCCTTTTATTTAGAGCTGAAAGGATGGACAGAATCTTTGTTTTCATCCATGCCACCTCCAGGGACCGTGTTGCCGGCTCTTATCTATTAGTCTATGGGTGTGGAACTGCCTGCCCTCCTGATGGGCAGGGCCAGGACTGGCTGTGGGCAAACCTCTGGTTTCCCTAAGACAGCTGCAGGTGACGGGCACGGAGGGCCCCAGCTTGCCTCCACCATGGACGGCTCCCTCCAGGGCTCCAGGGACCTCCACGAGGCTCTGTGTCTGGTTCCTGCAGGTCCAGGAGCTCCCAAGTCCCATCTAGCGGAGGCCTCCTGCCTCGTCCCTGGAAGGCGCTGGCAGCCACGCCAGCCCAGGTGCTACCTGGCCCAGGGCCTCGGGGCTCGAGCCCGAAGCCTGACTCTTGGGATTTAGTAGCAAGAGGTGGGGAGAGCAGCTGCCAGGGGTAGGCTGGACACCAGCAGCAGCTCTCAGCCCAGTTCCTGGCTCCTTGCCCTTGTGTACCTGATGCCACCTGTCCCCAGGGCTGGCCTTGGCCTTCCACGACGGCAGCGTCCACATAGTGCACCGCCTCTCGCTGCAGACCATGGTGGTCTTCTACAGCTCCGCGACCCCGCGCTCTGTGGACGAGCCGGCCATCAAGCGCCCTCGCACCACAGGCCCTGCAGTGCACTTCAAGGCCATGCAGCTCTCCTGGACTTCCCTGGCCCTCGTGGGCATCGACAACCATGGGAAGGTGAGTGCCCTCAGGACGCCTGCAGAGCTGGGGATGTGATGACCAGAGCACCAGGGCTCCTGTCCTCCGCAGGAGGGACACAGGGGTGGGTCCCCTTGCTGTTCTCCTCACCATTGCTGGCAAGTCCTTCAGCCTCCAGCCTGCGCTGCCCCATCATCAGGTGACCTGGAAAAGGCCCCAGCCTAGTATGGGCACTAGTGGGCACCCAGGGGGCAGAAGCGGTCAGACTGCCTGTCCCGAGGCCTCAGGGTCCAGTGGTGCCCCCCAAGCCTGGCAGGCATCGGGCCCCCACCCAAGACGAGTGTGTGCTCAGCTCAGAGAGGTCTGGGAGCCTCCTGGACATCCAGCTGTGCCCGAGGCTCGAGGGAGCGCCTGGCTGAGGCCAGCCTGTGGGGCCTGGAGTGTGGGGTGGCCAGGGTGAGCCACACCCCCGCCGCCTGCAGCCCAGCCTGGAAGGTGCAGGCCGACCCTCCCTGTCCCCTCCTGTCCCCTCCTGGCAGCTAAGCATGCTGCGCATCTCGCCCTCCATGGGCCACGCACTGGAGGTGTCCCTGGCCCTGCGGCACCTGCTGTTCCTGCTGGAGTACTGCATGGTGACAGGCTACGACTGGTGGGACATCCTGCTGCACGTGCAGCCCGGCATGGTGCAGAGCCTGGTGGAGAAGCTGCACGAGGAGTACACACGCCAGAGCGCAGCCCTGCAGCAGGTGGGCTCCCTGGGGCACGAGGTGGGGCTCACCTGGGGCAGGTCATGGGGGGGGGACCCCAGCCTGGGGCAGTGAATTGGGGGATGTCAGCCTAGGGCAGTTGAGGTGGGGGCCTCACCTGGGGCAGTGAGGCTGCATCTGCAGTTCAAGGCAGGTGAGGTGCTACAGATAGGGTACTGTGGGGCCCTGCACCTGGGAAAAGCTCTCTGGCTCTCCTTAGTTTGGGGGCTTTTTTGGTGTGGGGTCTGATGGTCAGATCCAGGGCCTTGGCTCTGCCTGAGCTATACCCCGGTCCTTCACAAGTTTCTTGTGAAAGTGAAACACTGCAAGTAGGTCTTGAGCCTTCTTGGACCTCCCTCCTGACACGGCTAACAGCGGGGTCTCCGGACCACCCCCAGAACTCACCAGGTCCGAGGTGTGCCATTGGCAACCTCAGACATGGCAACAGGAGGAGCAGGGAAGCTTGGAGCAGGAGGCTATGGTCTCACCAGAGCCCAGGGGGGCAGCGGGGCAGGACAGTCCTGTCGTGCAGGAGGCCCTGGGTTTCATCCCCAGCACCAAGAAGAACATCCTGGTCTTCTTTAGCCCAGTAGTAACCAGAGAAGGTCAGCAGGGTCCCACTCGCAGCAGGATCTGGTGGGAAGCCGGTCAGGTTGTCTTGGAGGCTGGGGCCGGAGGGCATCTTGTGGCTGGTACACACAGCCCTGGGTTCCATCCCAGCACCAAAACAGAGTGGAGGAAGCTGGGATGGAACCCAGACGTCGGGTGGCACGGGAGACTGGCCAGCAGCTGACCGTTCACTCGCCAGTGTGCCAAGCACTTGGGTACTTTGACTCTGCTCCCCCTCGGGGGTCTCTTCCTTGCCACTGAGTCTCCTGTCGAGCATTGAACCTGGCTTCGCCCACTTGTTGCTAGAACCATGCCCTGTCATGACCATCACTGAGTGCCCACTGGGGACAGAACTGTCCCAGGCCGACCCTGTGAGGCAGGTCCTCCTACTGTTCAGTTGGCCTTGAGGGGAGTGAGGCCCAGAAAGGCTAGTGGGCAAGCCGAGGTGCTACAGCCTGCCAACTGGCTTGCTCTGGGGTGTGTCCACCCCAGGCCCAGGTGGGATCCTCAGCCCACCTGCCCTCCTGCACACATTCGTTCCCCAGGTGCTCTCCACCCGGATCCTGGCCATGAAGGCCTCACTCTGCAGGCTCTCGCCGTGTACGGTGACACGCGTGTGCGACTACCACACAAAGCTTTTCCTGATGGCTGTCAGCTCCACGCTCAAGTCTCTGCTGTGTCCACATTTCCTCAACACCCCTGATAAGAGCCCTGGCGACCGGCTAACCGAGATCTGCGCCAAGATCACTGACGTCGGTGGGTGAGAGTCTGGGACAGGGCCTGTGGCCTGTTTTGTTTCTCATTGGTAACATTATTCAGGTTCTTGGTGGAAAGTTTAGACAAAACCCAGTGATACTTGCAAAGGAAAAGCAAATGTGCTTCTGTGTGTGTGTTGCTGGGGATGGAACCCAGGAGGGCTCACCACTGAGCTTCATCCCAGCCATTTTTATTTTTATTTTTGAGACAGTCTTGCTAAGTTGATGAAGCTAGTCTTGAACTTGAGATCCTCCAGCCTCAGCCTCTTGAGTTGCTGGGATGACAGGTCTGTGCCAGGTGCCCAGCTAACATTTCCCTTCTAAAACTCCAGGCTTCCCAGGCCAGGGCTGGGGCTCAGTGGGGCTCAGCAGTAGATCCTGGTGTGCACAGGGCCTTGGATTCCACACCCAGGACTGCCCCAATCAGGTTTCTGACTTACTGCTGAGTACACAGTATGTGTGGCCATGTGGCCCTCAGAGGAAATTGGAACTACCTAGAAGAAAAGTTCCCCATCACCCCATGGCACATCAGGGACACCACCCAGCAGGGAAGGGGCTGCTGTTGTCACGTGGTGGCACAGAGGTATGACCAGCTGCCCCAGCAGCCTCTGTCTCCCAGGCCTCCCTAGGGGATGGGGCACTGTCTCCTGCCCGCCACCTCTCCACATGGCGATACCCAGTCCTGGCCTCTGCTGTCAGGCCTTTTTCTGTGAGTGGCAACCCCGGGAACCCCGTGCACACACCCGCCCCCAGGTGCCAGTGCATCACACAAGCTCACACTACAGATATGGTGGGAAGTGGAAAAGAGGCTTTTCCTCCCGGTATTATCAGTGTTATTGATACCAGGGACTGAACCCAGGGGTGCTTAGCCGCTGAGCCACATCCCAGCCCTTTCTGTTTTATATTTCAAGACAGTCTTGCTAAATTGTTGAGGCTGACCTTGAACTTGTTATCCTCCTGCTCAGCCTCCTGAGTCACTGGGATAACGGGTGTGGCCACCATGCCTGGCTCCTGGTGTTATTTTACAGTAGTACCTTGTGGTGACTGTTCAGTGATCCCTCTGCAGGGGCACAGTAGGTTAGCCAGCAACCCCTGCTGCTTCGTGCTGAGTGGCTGTGGTTGCCCTGGTCTGCTCATGGCCAGCCAGTCCTTCCTGACAGAGGGGGTCATGTCACCCTAGGACCCACCTGAGAAACACCTGTGGGGTGTAAATAGGTGCTAGGCCACCACTGACCGGGTGGACGCCTCCCTTGCTGGTGGCCCTTACTGTGAGCCCAGACGATGTTCCCCACAGGGCCAGGTCTGCATTTGCAATGTCCCAAGTATGTGGAGGCATGGAGGCCAAGAGCAGCTGAGAGGCGGCCCAAGTGGGCAGGCAGCTCGTGCTGGCTCCTCTCCAGCCGCCTCCTTGAAGCCCCTGCTGTGCTGCACTGCATGTCCATGTTGGCATGGGCTCCTAGCAGGGCCAGAGCAGTGGGTGCTCGTCTGTGCAGGGTGCAGGGCCTGAATGGTAGCAGGCAAAGCGTGCACACATGAGGACCTGGCCACCCTGACTGCTCTGACCTTGTTCTTTTTAGACATCGACAAGGTTATGATCAACCTCAAGACTGAGGAGTTTGTCCTAGACATGAACACGTTGCAGGCGCTGCAGCAGCTTCTGCAGTGGGTGGGCGACTTTGTGCTTTATCTCCTGGCTAGCCTGCCCAACCAGGTATGTCGAGGCCCCACCTCCAAGTCACCTCTTCCACTCCCCACCTTCCCTCCTCCAAGCCCCGCCTCCACCCCGGCCACGCCTCTGCCTCTCCTCCCCCAAGCCCCGCCTCCTCCCCAGCCACGCCTCTGCCTCCCCTCCCCCAAGCCCCGCCTCCTCCCAACCATACCTCTGCCTCCCC